ATACAAAGGGAGAAAAGAAGAGGGCCTGGGACAGAATTTGGGAGAGAACCATATTAAAGGGTTTATGGGGGATATTCAATATCAAGGGTTGGCAGGAACAAGCTAGATGAAGATACAGCAAAAGATACAAAGTAGGAGCAGTCAGACAGATAGGAAAGGAGCTAGGAAAAGGTGACTCATAATGTCAAAGGCTGCAAAGAGGTCAAGAAAGATGAGTATTCAGAAAAGACAATTTAGATTTGTCAATTAAGAGATTATTGGTAACTTTGGATAGAAAGGTGGCAGTGGAATGATGAGGTTAGAAGGCAGACTATAGAGAATTTTAAGAAGCAAGTGAAAGAAAAGGAAGTGTAGATGGCTTTCTCAAGTAGTTCAGCTACAAATGGGAGGAGAGATATTGGATGATAGCTATTGGATTGGACATCTAAAGTGAGGGCTTTTTGAGGATGAGAGAGATATGGTCGTGTTTTTAGGCTGTAAGGAAAAAGCCAGTATACAGGGAAAGATTCAAGATTAGTGAGAGATTAAGTGTGAAAGAAGGAGTAATCTTCTGTAGAAGACAGGTTGGAATTGGAGGCTGGGAAGAGGACAAAGAATAGGGTTAGGGGCTGTAAAGCAGGGGGAGAGGTAGAATAACAACAGATTGTGATCAGATAAAGGAATTTCAGAGTTCTTGAACAGGGAAGTGGTACATTTGTAAGTGATGACAAGATCAAGGATATGACCATTTCTGTGTGTGGGTGAGGTAGGTGGAGGAGTAAGTGATAGGAAATTAGTAAATTGAGTAACTGGGAGGAATAAAGAAAGAGGTTAAGTTCCTGTAAGTACAAAAATCTTTACAGCAACTCTTTTTGTAGTGTAAAAAAACTGGAAAATAAAAGGATGTTCATCATTTGAGAATAGCTGAACAAATTACGGTATATGAATGTAATAGAATGCTATTGTGCCTTAAGAAGTGAGGAAAAGAATGACTTCAGAGAAACCTGGGAAAATTTATATGAACTGATGCAGACTGAAGTTTATACAAAAGAACAATTTGCACAATAACAACAATATTGTAAAGAGAAATAATTTTTAGAGATTTAATAACTCTAATCAGGGTAATGACCAAACAAGACTCCAGAGGACTGATAATGAAGCATATTACCTACCTTCTGAGAAAGAGGTGAAGGACTATTACATACAGATATATAAATAGATAGATAGATAGATAGATAGATAGATAGATAGATAGATAGATAGATAGATAGATGTAGATTATATATATATTTGGATCTGACTACTGTGGGAATTTGTTACACTTGATTATACATATTATTTGCTACACTCCACATTACATATTATGAGCTTTGAGTTTTGTTTTTCTTTTCTTTTTTCCCAATGAGGGAAGATGGGAAGAAGTGAAAATAAATCTTTGTTAGTTGAAAAAAATTTAAATTTAATTTAAGAAAAAAAAACAACACATGCCACATTATTCTGAAATTGTGATAAGTCTTTTGAGAAAGCAATAGCAATGTCTAGAGATCTAGAAAGGATCTTAGGGATCATTTAATCCAACCCATTAATTTTAAATATTGGAAAACTGAAGCACAGAGAAGATAAATGAATTGACCAAGGTCACACAAGAAATTAATGACAGAACCAGGTATAGAATCTGACTCCCAGATCTGTGCTCTTTCTTGTTATGTTTTGAATTAATCAATCAACAAGCATTTGTAAAGCCAGGCACTGGGGAATTCTAAGACAAAAATGAAACAGTCCATGCCCTGAAGAAGTTTACATTGCAGGGAGAATCAACAAGTACACATGTAAGTGTACACAGATCTAAACAAAGTAACTAAGAGATAATTTCACTGAGAAGGCAATAAGGTATTTGTACCTAAGTGGAATCAGGAAAAACTCATATAGGTTACACTTGAACTGGACTTAGAAAGAAGCTTAGGATTCTAAATAGTGGAGGTAAAGAAGGAGTGCATTTCAGTACAGGGGACAGTCCACAAAAGCAGAGAGATGACAGGCCAGAAGATCATAGACCCCAAAGGACATCTAATATAGCTACATCATTTTGCAAACCGAAGCTCAGGGACGTAAAGGAATTTGTCCAAGGTCACACAGCCAGTGAGTATCAGAGGCAGAATTTTAACTTGTGTCCATCTTACTCCAGAGTCAGTTTCTATTTCCACTGTACCACAGGGGTGTAGCATCACATCTGAGGAACAGCAAGAAGGCCAGTTTGGTTAGACTGTAAAATATGGGCAAGGGAATAATATGAAATAAGCTTGGAAATGTAGGTTGGATGCAAGTTTTGAAGGATTTTACCTGCCAAATAGAAGAGTTTGTATTTCTTCCTAGAAGCTACAGGGAGTGGGTAGAGCTTATTGAGGAGGAGCATAAAATGATCAAATCTATGTTTTAGGAATAACACTTTTGAAAAAGAATCATAAAAGATCATAAAATCACAGACAGTTAAAGGAAAATTTAAAGTTAATCTCATTTAATCCTTTCATTTTATAGATTAGGAAATTGAGGCCAGATTGAGGAAATCAGACAAGATTGCAGCTGGTGAGTGGCAGGTCCAGGATTCAAATGCAGATCTCATTCCAAATTCAGCACTGTCTTCATTATCACCATAGCTGAATCCTTATAGAAGCTAGTCCACTTTGAGCAAGTTTCAAACTTTTCTCAGAAAAACTATTTGCCTAGTATCTAGCTAAGCTCAGAGCCTTCATAGACGATCAATAATAGACACAGAGTGCCACAATAGTTTCCTTGTGGGCCCAAAAAGGAGAGTTTTTGCAATCCAAAAAAATAACAGAGATAAGAGCCTAATTATCAAGAATAAATATTTAAAACAGGAAGCAACTAGATGGTTTCACTCAACCCTGCTCCATCCCCTTGACTGAGACATGCTCCATACCACTTGTCCAGAGAAAACTGTATGAAATTGGGGAAGGAAGCCTTAATTAGTGTCCACTGAAATTTTCTTCTTTCATATAACTTTTGCTAGTGGGCAGTGATAATTATGGTAGCCAGGTGAAATCATACCATGGGGCTACCACATAATGATTCTGTGATCTTGGAGGTCTGGACTATTGACTCTGCAGAGAGGGGAGCCATCTTTTTCATGGCTCAGTTGAGTCCTGGAAGCATAACAAGGCTCCTGATAAAATTCAAGGTCAAGTCACACCCCTCCATTTTATGGAACTGCTCTTTTGTCAGATATATGTGAAAATCAAGAATAGCAAAGTGATAACTAAAGGGAACAGAAAATATATGATCTACACAACATGAAATCAATAATGAGAGGATACAGCCACAGAATTATATTACCATTTGCAGGCTAAGCTGGCAGTAAGGGCTCTCTAAAGACTTATAGTGGCTAACCAATAGATAGGGAGGTTATAGTACGGCAGTATTTCCTTAACTTTTGACATGTTGCTTGGAATGTCAGGGGTAGGTTGGGGTGCGGGGAGCAGGGCTTAGATAAGTGGGATATGCAACTGTAGTACAATCTGTCCAAAGAAATCTGGAGAAGCTTGGTGGCAATTGGATTCTAGGAGTTTCTAGAATGGTGCAAAGGTCAACTCACCACCAGGACTCCCCACCTGGATGTGAATACCTCTGCTTACTACTTTAAGAGATAGTACACTCAGAAGGACTGGGTTATAACAATGAATCTTGCATTTATTAGTCATGTGCCTGGCCAAGTTCCTTAACCTCAGACTCCCAGCCTCTTCATCTATCAATTGAGTAATAGCAAACCCATATACTATGTATTCTAAGACATTGTTGAAAGGGAAGTACTTTGCAAATCTTAGAATGCTACAGAAATGTGAGTTGTTATTATTATAGTGAATTATCTTGCAGACCTACATGCTAGGATATCTCATCCAAAACACAAGGGTCCTTGTCTGCTTTTCCTTATGCGTCCCGCATTATGCCTCATATGAAACTCTGCACACAGTGAGGATCAATATGTGTGGCTGAATATCTATATCTATATCTATATGTGTGTATATGTGTGTGTGTGTATATTTAAAATTGATACCTTTTGTTTGTCTTTTACAATGCAATACTGTACACTCCCTCCATTTCCATTGAATCCTCCATTATTACCAAGTGAAACACTTAAATATAAGTGATGAACAGAGCAATCAATGGACTGATGACTCCTTGTGCAGTCCCTTTCCTAGACCAAATTCCCTCTCCCTCAACATCCATGGATTCTCTGACTTGGCCCCCTATCATCTAGTGGTTCTCATCTGTGGTCACCAACTTTCTGACAGAGCAAAAAAAAAGAGGAAATTCAAAAATTTTAAAGGGTATCTATAGATCCTACTGCCCCATCCCATTCTTGATATTTTTTGTCATTTTTTTTCCCTTAAAACCAAAAGTGTGGTCCTATAAATGACAGCAGCATCTTAAGTCCAAGGAGAGATGTCCCCTTTCTCTGTGGGTCATATTCCCACTTTCAACAGACCAGCAGCACAGGCTAGAAACACTGATCCACAGCAAACAGACTGCCTCTTTCCCATCATGTAAATAGTTCTGAAATCCTACCTCCTCCATGAACCCTTCCCAGCTCAGTCAAAAAATTGCTCACATCCATTCTTGGACTAATAATCACAGTTAATCTTTCTGATCTGCCCCACTGAAATACATCGTCCTCCCTTTGTCCCCTGCCACTCAAAGTTACTGACGCTTTGGTCTAAGTGACATAACATTGTCATCTGGCCTATCTGGCTGTCCTGTGCAGGGTTATCCACATTTGTTTGTCTTGTCATGCACAAACACATAAAATTCAAGGACAGCAAAGACGGCACATGTGTGTCTGTGTGTCAATGTGCACATGCATGTGTGTGTGTGTTTATTAACAAAGGGACACGTGGAATGGAGAGATTGTTTTGGTTCAGCCCAAATGCTCTGAAGCATTTTAGAGGATGCTTACTGATGATAACAATGATAATGGAGAAGACCTGTAGAAAACAAAGGACATTTACCTTGGAGGTATAGGTGTGACCATCAGAGCCGCAAACAAGGGTGGTGTGTGCAGAAGCTGTGCAAGGTTTGCACTTGACTACATTTGAAGTTCCAGTCCAGTGTTTGTGGGCCATGTTCCCCTTCTTTTGCCTAAGACTATGAAACAGAGAGACACACACAAAAGAGGAAAAAAAAATTAGTGAAAACCTCAAATAGTCCAGAGATTTTTCCTTGATGGATTGTGGGTGGTAGAGACACTTATTATAATAAGGCCTAGACTCCAACTATTCAAAGCTTTTTTGTTTTTAATCAAGCAAATTCCTATCCCCCCCACCTGCTCTCAGATATTCTTCCTGTCACCCTGAGGAGAAGCCAAGGTAGAGCAGATGTGGATTATAGGCACCTGCAGTCAAGAGTTTGAAAATGACTTTCTAAGAACCAGATAAGCAAGTTGTAACTCTAGTCCACCAACAGAGTCATGAAAGGGGGCAGTCACTTGACCATCTGATCTGTTTGCTGTCCTAGAAACTGCTTCTGGGAGGGACACATTTCCACCATCTCACAGGCAAAGGAGAGCTGTTAGACATTGTATGTATTAATGATCCAGAAAAAAAAATAATTAACTCAAAAGCCCATGGGCCACTGAATAATTAGGATTCCCAATTAATTAAGCTTCACCAAGATAGGGGGACATCCTTTTATTTTATTTTTTGCAAGCATCGGCATCAATCAACAAGAATTCATTAACAACCTACTATGTGCCAGTCACTGTGCTAGATGCTAAGAAAACAAATAAAATAAATGAAATAATCCTTGCACAAGAAGCTTACATTGTGGAGGGTGGGGTGTGAAAAGGAGAGACAAATAGCATCTGTCATGTATAGATACAATTAAAATTTTCAAAACATTTTGCATTTGATCCTTATGATAACTCTGTAAGAAAGGTGATATTATTATCTCCATTTTTTTAGGTGAGGAAATCAAGCCTCAGAGTGGTCATACAGGGTTACTCAGCTAGTAAATATCAGGGCAAGATTCAAACTCAGTTTTTTCTGACTCCAAGTCAGTGGTGTTTCCATTATACCACTATATGCTCAACCAAGGATTAATAGGATTAATGAGGGCATGAGACTCGGTAACTTTTGAGGTTCTTTCCAGCTCTAAGTCTGTGGGACCTAAGAAACCATCTCATGCAATGCTTTCATTTTATAGATTCAGAAGCTTTCTCTGTCCTCTAAGCTCAGCACAAAGTCTATCTCAGAGTGGTGTAGATAGAAATGCATTCCTAAATACAACTGAATGACTTTATCACAGCTGTAGAAAAGTATTTCTGGATACATTTTTAAAGCAATTTCATTCCAGCTTGCAATTTGCCAAGCGATAAAGACTCCAAGGTAATGTCACTTTCAACCGTTAAAATAATCAAAATTCTATTCTTTCATTTCAGCTCAAGTTTTCTCCAATTCTAACCTTTGTCATAATGATGTATAGTGCTATTAGGATGGCTTGTGTCCACAGAAGGAACCCCATCACAGTATCACAAACCAGTAAAATAAAAGCCTGTGGTCAAAGCTGTCATTTTTCTCTTATCAGGCAGCCACTCTCCCAACAAACCACATTTAGTAACTCGAGTAGCTTTCAGAGTGAATTCAGCTCTAAGGATAAATATTACTAGGCCAATCATAAATCCCACAGAGAGAGAGCCCTCATTGAGGTTTGCTCACATGAAATGATTCTACAGAATAGACACCCGCTCCAATACATGCGGGATATTGAGCAATGAATTCCCAATAGCACCTCAAAAGATTATCTTGACCTTAATATGTTTTTACATTGCTTCCTTCCAGCACCTAGAACAGGCTTCTGTATATAGTAGGCATTTAAAATAAATGTTTATTGAATTGCAGTGAATCTGTCTACTCAACCATCCTTGGTAAAGTCATAAGTTATCAAATGGCATCTAGCTACCAACTACCTTTTTGGAAAGGAGAAAAGGACATTACACTATACCTTTCCACCATCAACTAAAGCCAAGAAAGTGGGCACTAAAGATAAATACTGATTAGACCAAAGAAACAGCTTTCTGCTTGTTAACAGGGCAGCCCTGTTTTGATTCAAAACTGTTTTGTCCTTAGAGAGCAAGGGGAACCCTTCAGACCTGGATCAGATTGGCTAAAATGGTAGAAGGGGAAAGTGACAAATGTTGGAGAGGATGTGGAAAAATTGGAACACTAATTCATTGTTTGTGGAAATGTAAAATGATCCAACCATTTTAGAGAGCAATATGAAATTATGTCCAAAGAGTTATTAAACTACCTTTTGGACACAATAAGAGAACATTATATACAGTAACAGCAATATTGTTTTAAGAAAGACTTTGAGGGGCAGCTAGATGGTAGAGTAGATAGAGCACTGGCCCTGGAGTCAAGAGCACCTGAGTTCAAATCTGGCCTCAGACACATGATACTCACTGGCTGTGTAACCCTGGTCTAGTCACTTAACTCCAATTGCCTCACCAAAAGAAAAAAAACAGAAAAGAAAAGAAAAAAAAAGACTTTGAGCCAATAGGTTATTTTGTTTATTATAAATACTCAAATAAACTATAAAGGACATATACAGAAAGACCCTATCTGCATCCAGAGAAAGAACTGATAAATAGAAGAAGCTATAAGAAACCATCTTATGCAATCCATTCATTTTACAGATTCAGAAGCTAAGGTTCTGAAAAATTATGCAATTTGCCCATGGTGACCTAGAAAGTTGCAAAGCTAGGATTCAAACCTAGGCCTTATAACTTCAAGTCCAAATACACACACACACACACACACACAAATTTGTATCTAATGGTAGCCATGTTGGCAGGGGTAGGGAAGAAAAAAAAAAGAAAAAAATTTACATGATAATTTTGTTGTATATTTTAAAGGAACAGCAAGTTGTACATAGTAGATTTGCAGTTTCATGTATAATCTTTTTTATTGTACTATATTTTGGAAATGCTTGTTTTATTCCATAAATTAAAAATTAAATTAAAAAAAAGAGTTTGGAGTGTTAAGATAAGACATTGCCTTTTGCCCTCAGTTGGGAAGACTAAGGAGCTGGCCTGGGTACTAGCATTTGACCAGGCTTGATTGGAAGTATTAAGCAGAGGTTCAAGATATAGCTCTTTTGAGCTCTCTTCCTCTTCCTCACTCTTTCTGATTATGTAGAAAAGTAGATGTTTCTTGTCTGTTTTCTCATACCTCTCATCTCTATCTGGAAAACAATAAAGCAAAATATTTGGGGCTCTGGTCTTTCTATCTTGCCACCTTTTCCCTAAGAGGCTGGCACAGGACAGGCCATTAACACTCTTTTTTGGGCAGTGGTAGATGTAAAGCCAAGAAGAATAATATCAGTCTTTTCTCTCCTTTTTCATCTCCCTGTGAAAAATCTGAGAAGTCCAATGCTTTTTAGTCAAGGTAGGTCCAACAAAGTGCAAGATGGATATTCATTGTCAACCTTCTTTAAATAATTGTCACATTTTTAAGATTGTTAAGGATGACAATATATATCCTTTATACTTCTTCCCTTGCATGTGTGACTGGAAAAGCAGATGAGCTTGTCATGTGGCAAGAGTGAAGGATAATCAATGGACAGCTCATATGATCCATTGGCATGCAGAGTTTTAAAAAAACTCAAGAAAAGATAGATGAACTCCCTTCCCTATGACAGATATGTACAACCATACAACCAAAAGTTACACAGAATGAGAAAGTATGATGTGTATTCACATCAAAAAAGATAATAAACTCAACAAAATCTTTTAAAAATTGTTAAAGATCTTATTTTCAAAATGTAGAAGTCATTTTTGGGTTTTAGAGCCAGGAACTTCTATGAGCAGATGTTGTGCTTGGTAGTTCTTGTAAAATACTTCTATTGAGCAAAACTGTATGTCATTATTATTAATTTTATATATTTATATATTATATTGTATATTAATATAACACACATTAATTATTAAATATGATGATTGCATATTAATACATTATATAACATATCATGTATTGTGTATATTTATATATTTTATATATATTATTTATTGTTATTTAGTAGACCTCCACCCAGGAACTATTTTATTTACTTAATTTATTTTGATTTATCAACAATCACTTCCATAAGCTTTTGAGTTTTAAATTTTTCTCCACCTCCTTCCCCAAGACAGCATGCAATCTGATATAGGCTACACATGTATATTCCTATTAAATATATTTTCACATTAATCATGTTGTAAAGAAGAATTAGAACCAATAGGAGAAACCACAAGAAAGAGAAAACAAAACAAAACAGAAGAAAAAAAATTGCAAATAGTATGCTTCAATCTACATTCAAACTCCATAGTTCTTTCTTTGGATGTGGATAGTATTTTCCATCATGAGACCTTTGGAGATGTCTTAGATCTTTGCATTGCTGAGAAGGGCTAAGTCTATCAAAGTTAATCATCACACAATGTGGCTGTTACTGTGTACAACATTGTCCTGGTTCTGCTCACTTCCCTCAGCATCAGACCATACAAGTCTTTCCAGGTTTTGCTGAAGTCTGCCTGCTCATCATTTCTTATAGCACAAGAGTATTCCATTACATTCATATACCACAACTTGTTCAGTCATATCCCCATTGATTGGCATCCTCTCAATTCCCAATTCTTTGCCACCACAAAAAGAGCTGTTATAAATCTTTTTGCACTCATGGGTCCTTTTCCCATTTGTATGCTCTCTTTGGGATACAGCCCTAGAAGTGCTATTGCTGGGTCAAAGGGTATGCACATTTTTAGAGTCCTTTGGGCATAGTTCCAAATTGCTCTCCAAAATGGTTGGATCATTTCACAACTCCACCAACAATGTATTAGTGTTCTAATTTTCCCACATCTTCTCCAACATTTATCATTGTCCTGTTTTGTCATGTTGGCCAATCTGATAGGTGTGATGTGGTACCTCAGAGTTGTTTTGATTTGCATTTCTCTAATCAATAGTGATTTAGAGTATTTTTTCATATGGTTACAGATGGCTTTAATTTCTTCATCTGAGAATTGCCTGTTCATATCCTAAGACCCAAAGAGCTATGACCCTCAACAAATCTGGGGTACAGCAGGCTCCCTACTTCCACTCCCCTGCCACCAAAAA